AGATCAATGTGCGTATTACAAGGAAAATGGACATTGGGCTAGAGAATGCCCTAAGAAAAAGGGAGGACCTCCTAAGATACTGGCCCTGGGAGAGGAAAACAGCTAGAGGGGACGGGGCTCAGAGCCCCTCCCCGAGCCCAGGGTAACCCTAACTGTGGAGGGGCAACCTGTGGAGTTCCTAGTTGACACTGGGGCACAACACTGTTTTATTGCACCCCTTGGGAGATATAAAAGAAGAGAAATCCTGGGTAATAGGAGCTACAGGGCATCAACAATATTCATGGACTACTAAAAGAAGAGTAGACTTAGGAATAGGCGGAGTGACTGATTCCTTTCTGGTGATCCCCGAGTGCCCAGCCCCTTTGCTCGGGCGAGATCTGCTCAGCAAGATGGGGGCCCAAATCACTTTCTCCCCTGAGGGCCCCAAATTAGAAGCTAAGGGGCCAGTTACCCTTCTAACCCTACGGCTGGAGGACGAACATCGGCTTTATGAGGTGCCACCTTCACCAGAGACTAACATAGAGCACTGGCTATCAAAATTTCCCCGGGCATGGGCTGAAACTGCGGGGATGGGACTAGCCCTCCAAGCTCCACCAATCCCGATAGAATTAAAGGCAAACTCTGAACCCATCGCAGTCCGGCAGTATCCTATGAGCCTTGAGGCCCAACGGGGGATCCGGCCCCACATCCAGCACCTCTTAGAGTTAAGAATTTTGATGCCCTGATGTTCAGCATGGAATACCCCTCTCCTACCAGTCCAGAAGCCAGGCACAAAAGACTTTCGCCCTGTACAAGATCTTAGGGAAGTTAATAAGTGAGTGCAAGACATTCACCCCACCGTGCCTAACCCTTATAACCTATTAAGTTCTCTCCCCCCCCCGACTGGATCTGGTACACTGTTTTAGACCTTAAAGATGCTTTCTTCTGCCTAAGATTACATCCTGCCAGTCAACCTGTTTTCGCCTTTGAGTGGAGGGACCCAGAGAATGGTCAAGCGGGACAATTGACCTGGACACGGTTACCCCAAGGATTCAAAAATTCGCCTACTCTATTTGATGAGGCCTTGCAC